TTTTTACTATGACCGTATACATTCCACCCACATTTGTGTAAAATTCAGTACATAAGTAATATTATTGTGATTTAAGGTTGACGTGATTTTGTATATCATTTTGGGACTTATTCGGAAATGTGTTTTTGGGGAGTCAATAAATCTTCATTGCACTAATCTTTCGTGTTATCGTATTGCATCGTTGGGATTGTAGTGATTCTCGTTTCTTAGTATAAGCAGTCACACCGGTTAGTTGTAGTGATTCCCGATTGTAAAGTCAAGGCAGTAAGAATGCGGACTCAATAGAGTCGATACTTACGTAACAGATACTACTCTTCGGATATAAAACAACTGACTACCCAGTTACAACAGTGACGACAGAGTCAATTTTTTCAGTCATAAAACCAAAATTGTCATGTATCATAGCGAAGGTCTAACACATAAATCATTGAATCAGTATCCATAGGTTTATATGATTGAAACTTCAATTGAATTTTGATATTATACAAATATTCTTTAATATTCTTGGTGGATAATTAACTGGCTCAAAATCGATATAGTTGAACTCCATTAGTCATGGATTCTCACTAGACCACAGAAAACTACTTTTCGAAATTAGTTATTATTAAGTACATGTTGATATTTATTATTATAGAAAGGTTTTGTTGAATTCCGAATTTATTTAGTGTAGTTGCATAGTTTATATATTGTTTTCACTATGTTTTTTAAAATTTTAGCGTTGGTATGAAATAAATACTGAGGGTAATAATAATTTAGATCCATGGTCAAATTCAGTGAGTTTTGTTTTCGCTTATTTCAACTCGTAGTATTATTAAAATAATAATAATAATAATCATTATTATTATTATCACCATTATTGTTATTATCACAGAATATTGAATTCCCAATAGAAGGTGGTTGGCGAAGTCTAGAAGGAACCCTTGGATCTAGATTTAGTGTAAATCGATACTCGCTAACAAAGTGTACCTTAAATCTAGAGGACTGTTGGTTCTTATGATATTCGAACTTGGGTTAAAACGTTTTACGTTTTAGGATGCTATCGTTTAACTATTCGAGTCACGAGAGACTTTCTTTCAGTCTGATTGACTAATCATTCAATATGTGATTGGACGTTTTCAGATAAATAATGAACATAAAGTTGATATATATTCTCGGAAAAATCCCATTGAATAGTTTGACAAAGTGACACAAAACTGATGTTATGATGGTTCAGTTTTGTAACAATTCAAGTACTTCAACTGGCTTCACTTCGAAATTATCTCAATTTGTAGTAATATACTTTACCATCTAAGTTTCTATTATTCAAAAGATTCAGGAAAGTTATCATACTCTTCAGTTATCTTGTCATGTCACTTTTAATGATTTCATATCCACAGGCATCTTTGCCAAAGTAACTTCATTATCAGTGATCTGAATGGTGAATAAACGATTAAAAACCGCAAAATACAGCGTATATTAGAATTTTTAATCAGTATAATTGATCGGTGATCTTCGTGGACCTTGCGTCACCCCTGAAGTCTTCCTAACCCTCACTGAAACCATTCATTTACTTAAAAAAGCCGTTTTTCACCAAGTTATCTCTGTTAACAGCCTATTGGTTTCGTAATTTTTCTGAGAGACTTCTTCAATTTTCATCACGAATTAATGTTCATTTAGGTTTGGATTACCAAGATAAATAAATACAATAATTTTTTCCCGCTTTTTATATTCTAACAAATAGTTTTCTAAATTTTCTTTGAAAACCTTGTAGCATAATCATCGTCACAAGGATACAGTTCAACTGGATCAGAAAAGAGCTCCTAATAAAGTACAATGTTGTTTGACACATTGACGAATACGTATCTTTCGGATAGTAATGTGGCCTTATTATTAACTCTTTTCAAGCTATACTACTATAATATATATTAAGTAGTTAAATTTGTATTACATTTATTCTTCAGCATCGTTTGATATCAAACCTACTCCCCAAGAATATTCAAAATAAATTATTTATACATCCTTCAAGTAAAAATGTGTAAATAAAACATTTTCTATATTACAGATAGTTTATTATGCTTATTTACATTCATTTAAACTTACCATTCGTTAAAACATTAACACAAACATATGCACATTATCAACACAAGCACCACTCACAATACACAGCAATCTCTTCATAATAAAATTTGAACTACCCTAAAATGAAGCCAAGTAGAGATGTTGCTTCTCAATTTAAGTAAACAAACATTACAATCAAATCTCTTTTTATTGTACAGTTTTTTCATTCATTCTAATATGCATATACGTATGGAAATATGTATGTGATGACACGTTATAGAAAACGTGGCTGCAATAGAATAAATATCAAGATAATTAATTAATCATTATAGAGCTCACTTTCATGCCTTCATTCGTTATTATTACTTCTTTTCTTTTGTTTAACCAACCTACTTAAGAACGTTATCATTTACTGCTTAAAGTTGTTTCTTTATTTTATTGATTTGCATGTTGGTTTGTTTGTTTGTTTCTTTATTCGGTAACATATCTTTTTCCCCTAATCCTAATATTATTATATATAGATAAATAGATAAATCTTTTGAAAGTAGTTACAGAATTCATAAAAGTGTATACGGGCATGATTAGGTTGGTCCGAATGAAAATGTAATAATTTTAAGCGAAAACGTATGGAGGTACATTAGTTGAAAGGTATGATTTTCATAAATTGTTTCTATAGTACACTTGTCGCGACGATTTAATCTATATGAAGCGGTAGTTGAAAATAAGCATATGTCAGTGGGAGAACTGTGGCTTTATTGTTAAAGATGAATAACATAGCTGTGCACTATTCCAGTGTATTTACAGAGTACTTTCAATCATCAGTTTGGGGTTGTATAGGTTGTGAAGTTTCATTGAAATGATGGACCGATCAATCTTAGGCCATCATTAGAAACCTTTAAGCACTAGGAGACCGTCTCATCCTAGCATGGGACTTCACACTAGCGCGCATTCATAACCATACACATTGGTGTCGAAATCAAGACTCTCAATCTTGCGTAAGAAAGCTTAATTGCTAGACGGCACGTAACTGTGTTAGCGTCCAACTTCAATCAATCCACGACAGTGCGCTGCCATCTTACAATCATCCACAACTAGGAAGAAAAAAGCGAATGTACAGACATTTCATGGAACAATAAAATTTGGTTACTGAATCCTTTTCAAAATTTTAACCCAAATTGTCTAGTTACATAATTGTTCTAAAAAAGTGATTTATTTGAAAACACTACACTAAATAAGTTTTTAGATGTTATACCCATCCAAGTCGTCCCAATTGGTAAAAACTGACCACCTCATCAACCGATTCACAGTTTTTAACTAGTACCCTAAGTCTAACGTCAACATTGCTCACTCAGTAATCCCAAAACAAAAGGTTACGGTTTCGGAGACAACCTTTAACCGAGTACTAGTAACCTGCGAATACTATCAATTCTTAATAGTAGTCCTTAACATCCATAAAGTGCAGCAGAGTGAACTGCTGTTCAATAAACTTTTTTTTGTTGGTAGAAGGATATCTCACCTACATCATAAGACGATTAGAAGACTTCATTTTGTCAGCGTTTTCACCAAACAGAACTATGTCATCTGAGTATTCGAAGTTGAGACGTTAGTCTTCTAGTAGCAAATCAATATCTAGAACTTCGGATGGTGGGAGGTTCATCTCTGAAAGGGTGTCTATGAAGTCAAATAATAGGCGAGAAAGTGAACAATTCGGACGAACACCAATTTAGGTTGATATTTCTGACGACAGTTTGCTATGAGCACTATAATGACCAGCAGTGTCCGAGTACCGTCTTTTTAAGGTTGATATATTTCTCTTTTACGTCTTTTAATGGTAGAAACTGCTACAGAACCTTTCGATCAACAGAGTCAAGTGCTGCCTTAAAGTCAAGAAACAACTATAGCTGGAGGTCAGAGAGCATATCCATGTTTTAGGGATTGATGAAAAGTGAATATTTGGTCTGTGCATTCCCTGTTCGCTATCTACCGATTCTATTTAACAGTCGGATGATTATTAAAGCTAATATTTTCGACACTATGATTCAACTCGATTCGTCTGTCATAAGAGAATTTATGTTCCTTTCTGTAAACTGGGACGATCAGCGATAAAAACCAATTAGGTAATATCACGTTCAGTCCTCATATTCTAGTTAATATCTCAGTCAAACTAACTGTTGAAAATGAAACACTATCACTACAGGTCTCAGGATCTGGTACTACTTCTTAGCTTAGATTAACCATAATCTTTTCAACCTCAATAAGAATTGAAGGACTTGTTCCAACTTCCCATTCATGCTATCTGCAGATAATTTCTGGTTAACTTCCAAGTACCCAATAATTAACAGTCAGTAGTTGTGTCAAATCTATTAATAATAATAATATACAATAAATCGAAGCTTAGACTTTACATACTACAACTATAGAATCAAAATATTGGGCTATGCTACACTAATATACTCACAGAAAACAGTTGAACATAGTTTCAAACACTTTTACTGAAGTCACAAGTGAAATTACTATTCAATATATAAGATCGTACTGCTAATCAAACCTAACAACAATCTAAAGCACTAAATACAACACACTTATTTGGATATTGAAAACGTTAGGGTTAACATTAACCTTCAATCATAATAATTATTTTCCACTTTAATGCTATGCCAAATTCATCGGAACATTAAAAAAAAAGAGGGGCAAATTAATAAACGTACGTTTATATCCAAAAATATCTTTATTTTATTTTCAATAAAATAACGTTACAATATAAAGAAATAAAAGATTTCTTCTATGGTGTTATGTGAATTTTGTTTGTTTACTTGTATTCCTCTTTTTTTTAAAAAAAAACAATGTTCCATTTCATTTTCTAGAAATATATTTTGTCCATCTCTCCACCCACTTTATATATATATATATATATATATATATATATATATATATATATATATATATATATATATATATAATATGCGTATATGATATATGTATTAAAAAAATAATAATTGAATCATCAATAAAATAAAACAGTGACAAATATTTTGTTGCTATGAGAAAATACATTCTTTGTCTTTATTTTTTCCTTTATAAAATTAAATATGTATAATCAGAGAGGAAAAGATATACAAAGAATTATAATTGAAAAAAAAATTTGTAAATGATTCAAAAGGATCATATAGAATAGAACAAATGATAGATATTATTATTGTATAATATGGTGTTAATGATATTACAGATAACACCGGGTAAAATGAAATAAATGAAAATAATAAATACAATTCAAATATGACATCTTATTATAGTTAACCCGCCCCCCCCCCCAAAAAAAAGATAATAATAATAATAGACAATTTAACTGGTGGTTTATACTGAGTCTGATGTTCTAGATCGAATCTGTCTCCTTTTTCTTTTTCTTCTTTTTTTTTACTGTGAAAGGCCTTTTCAAAAAGAAAAAAAATCAGTGTTTAAAATAAGTAAAAAATAATTTTTTTTTGTTTTTCACAAAAGAACAAATATTCCATTGTTATCATTTATTTCACTTGTATTGTTTTTGTTTGTTTTCCTTTAAATAAACTTGAAAACTTATAAATGCAATGAATGTTCAATGATAAATGATAAATAAATACATAAACGTTTCTATGGATGATTGACTAGAATTAAATAAAAATTTAATTAAACTATAATTAAATATTAAATAAACAATAGACATATTTATTTAATATTCATCTATCATACATACAGGTATTTGATTAGATGAATTTGAATTTAATATTACTGAACTAGACATTAATGGATCAAATGTGTATGGTAAATATTTTGGATAATTTTGACGACAATCTGTTGGTACATTAGGATAACAACCATTTGATATAATATTACATGTATCTAATAATTGACGTACAAATAATTGTTTATATTTTCCATTAATATCATCATTATTTGATACATAAATTAATATTAAATAAAATCTTGGATAATCATTACGATGATATGCTGGTATAGTTAATTCAAGTGAATGCATTCCTTGAGTTGTTTGACAATAAATTGGTTTTATAGTTTGTTTAATTTGTTTAGATAATATATGCTTTGGAAATTCACAATAATCGGTCTAAAAAGAAAATATATATAGAATAAATGTAAAAATAAATAAATGATTCATTTTGTGCATGAATAAATTTGTAGGTTGTATATCATCACAGATTGATCTCAGTTGTGATACAATTGAAAACTAAGGAGTACTGAACAGCTGTCTCATTATAGTAGGCGACTCCTTAATAGTATACATTAAGTAATTAGAATGGTAAGCCTGAAATTTCTCTAGTCGATTCACGTGTAAGGGGGTTTGTAGGTGCTACGTGATTAGATTTCGTGATGATTATATTTTCAATTTCGTTATATGTTGGGTAGTAATTAACAGTGGAATTCAAGGAGGACGTTTCTTGACTAATTTATGAGTCTCAGTATAAATATCTATAGCGATACAAGTATATCAAGCTATTGAATCACACATTAGGAGAAAGTTCATTCCACTGTTATTCACTAATCAAATTTTCAATCAACTACTGGAAATCAGTAATGATAAAAAAGCACGTAAAGTATGAAGACGTCGTTCAGGTGAGAAAACATGTATACCTTGTAGAAGTATATTAAAAATTTCTGAAATTTTTATCAATTTTGTACACCTATGTAACGACCTAAACATTCAAACGTTATATTAATTAACCTGACTTGTTGTTAACACTTTATATTGTAAACAAAACGGAAACGAAGCTTGTGATTTTTTAATAATGCATTGTATTTTGTTGCAGCTACATAAAGTTGAACAATTTCGAGTGACACAAGATATCGACAAACATCCACTGTTCATTCACGAGTCGTGCTCAAAACCTTATAACCATTCAAAACTTACTTGTCGCACTATGTAATGAATTGACTGAAATTCAGAAATATGAACCAATTATTACGAACGAACAGTTGAATTGTCGACGAGACTATAATTTATGGATGAACCAATTAAGTATAAGATAACAGGTCTCGAATTTTGGCGCGAAATTCACTCATCCATTTAGTTATATAGAGTTTTGGCCTTATAGCTGATGTCAGTTCGTGACGAAAACCCTAGATCTAATTCCTAAGCTTAACCATAAAGTGTAAATTATAATTATAATTCTTCACACTGGTTTATAACTTTCATTTTGTCTTAGTTACTAGCTAGACACTCTCAAAGTCACTCAACCGTCGTTCATAGGTTGTCCACCGAACTGTCTACTAAACTCTTAAACTGATTACTATATTGAGTTACAGAAACTCAAAATGAGCCAATAAAATAGCTCAAATATATTTTTATGTTAATTTCAATCAACCAATTAAAATCTAATAATTATTAATAACCAATAATATTTATTTGAAAATCAACCAATAGAAATTTAAGTTTATTATTATTTCTTACCATATTATTATTTAAATAATCCCACATTAAATTTATATTATTTATTGGATCATTTAATACTGGTAATGTATAAATCCAATAATTTTGTGGATTAACATGAATTTTTAAACTTATATACACTTGATGTGATGTACATTCAACACCAATTTGAAAACCATTTTTCATTGGAATATTTCTGAATGGACGTTTTAATAAATTTGGAATGTTTACAAAATTATTATTATTATTATTACTATTATTTAATGAAATTGTAGTAATTGTTTTCATTAAATAATTATTAATTTGCTTAGATTTTAATTTATTATTTAAATATAATTGATGATAATTAGTACGTTTTACACGATGATTAGTAAAACGATAATGTCTTAAATGTTGTTGTAAAAATGGTGATGGAATTTGAAATATAGTTTGATTACTTGATGGTTGAATAATAATAGTTGAAATATCTGTTGGAAAATCTGTAAATAAAATTTTAATGAATGAAGTAGATTTGATATTATGAACATGGAATAATGATAACTGTTGAATTAAAAATTATAAAGTTATAACTTGTGTCACTGGTTGAAATCATGAGTCAGTTGAAGCTAGACCACTATGGAAAACCTGGAAGTACTGGATGGCCGTTTCGTCCTAGTATGGGTCTCCTTAGCAGTGCGCACCCACTATCCCGCATCCCATGAGATTCGAACCCAAGACCTATCAGTCTCTACCAGGTCTGTTGTGAGATAGGAACTCACTAATGACAATGGTGTACGGTGGCGCAACTTCGTGGATTGGCTGAAGTTAGACATTAACACCGATGGATGCCGGCTCGGTGGTCTAATGATTAGGCGCCTGGCGCGAGACTGATAGGTCCTGGGTTTGGATCTCGCGAGGTGCGGGATCGTGGATGAGCACTGTTGAGGAGTTCCATAATAGGACGAAACGGCCGTCCAGTGCTTCTATGTTTTTCATAGTGGTCTAGCTTCAATTGACTCCTGATTTCAACCGGTGAAATTTTTAAAAATCTCCACAAAACCCATTCTGATAATTATAACTTATGTGTTTGTGCCCCATAACAATGTATGAATTAATGATACGGCCAATTAAAGAACAGTGAATTATTGACCGGACCAATAACGTATAAAATAAATACGAGCAGATTAACGTCTTTGTCGGTCCTGCTCCTCGCCTAGCTCTGCCTGTTACAGTACAGAACACAAAACCAACCTCTCAAATATGAATAATTTATTTCAAACATACTAAGTGTATATACCAACCAAACAGACCATATAGTACCATACAATGGAAAATAACACTGGTACAAGATCTAGCCAAAAGTGGCTGTGGATATGGGAGATAATATTGACTAAACTGAGCATAACTCAAAAATGGTAAATTGCATAATAATAGTTCATAGGTCGAAATAAAGCTTATGATGAGAGGAACACGAATATGAATAGTTTGGTCATTTAACAATTACACGACAAAAATATACTTATAATATTAGTCGATAAGTGGATCCCAAAAGTTACCATTCATTATTCTCATCGGGATATAACATGTAGTCATAATGAACTGTCATTAAATAAAGTATTTTAAAAAAGACTAAACGAGTGCATAATACCGATCTTCTTATAGTATAAATGTTCTTCGACAGAACACATGATTAACATACACTCGGTTCATTGTGATCGATGTTTATATATGTTGGATGATATAACTTGGATATCTATTGCAATGGTATAGATGTATTCACTTCATTATACAAAACTTCTTTTCAATCTGTATTTTTCAAATCATATTGTTAGTTTCTTGACTTATTGTGGTTAAACTGTATAGCAACTTCAACTGAAGTATATTGTATTTAATTTTCCATTAATCATAGAAGATAATTTAACAGTGTGTATACAAGAATTTACAAATAAATTGAACCCATGACCATTCATATCAGTTCCAACGAAATCTTAATATATTACTGACATGAATAGACAGCCTTTGATGATAATGTCCTAACCGATGGAAAATTAAGCTTCCAATGTCTTATTACTTAGTGTAAGTTGATTTCCCAGTAAATAGTTCTTTTCTTTACTTCTGGATTCTTTAATATTATCAGTGAAAACTTCAAAAGAAATCAGCTGTAATGTTAACATTTCTGTAAAATCAATTAAAGTTTATCTGACTAAACAAATAAATCAATTAAATGATAGAATTCAACACTAATTAAATCATTCTACTGGTTAACAGATCTTTGTCATAAATTCTTCAATCTCAAATACTATTTTATTCAGTTAAAACTTGGAGTCTAATAATACCTATAAATTTTCATGGGCCGCGCCCGACCATCCTTAGGACTGAGATGTATTCACAATTGATTGATCACTGGGTGGTGATTAATGTTATGTGTGTCAGGTCATTTTTAGCCCAGTGGTAACATCTCTGACTGTGAAGCTATATGACACGGAATCGAATTCGTTAGGGACTACCAGTTCCCTCAAGATTATAGTTACACTTTGCTGACGAGTATCAAATAGCACGAAACCCGGGTCCAGGGTTTCCTGTTGACTACCTCCAACCACCATATAAATTCATGGTTTTTCTGCACTATATTTAATAGAAAATACTTCGAGCAAAATAACCATAATTAAAAAGGAAGGAAATGAATAGAAACTTATTAACAGTGAATATATTTAACATTCCATTCGTTTTTTTCTATGCTTCAATTTAACATTGTTAAATTTCAAATGGTAAGCATATATTACTGAATCGATGAGTTTATGACACATTATTATATAAGTAATTCTGTGTATATTTTATAGATAACACTATAAACTGGCCTTATTTAGACGACCATTAAAACACAAGAAGCCACTAGTTTGGAATTTCGTTCTAGGATGGAACTCCTCAACAGTGCATATCCAAGATCTCAACAGGTTTTCGATGTTTATCAATCTCTAATCAGTTCATAATAATAAACATAGAACTCATCAGTTTTCACAAACTCCTCATATTCACTCTAAATGCACAAAATAATAAAGAATTGTTAATGTCATTACTGCATGGATTTTTGTGGTGATTGTGAGATTTTACAGTTCACCATTCAGGAGTATCAATACTAGGTGGAAATAGCTTCCCAGTGCTTCATGATTGCTTGGCAGTAATCAGTTGCTGTTTTCAGCTGCAAAATAAATCCTTTTTTCCTTAAATTCATGCAAAAGCTTAAATTACGGAGTAATTTTTACTAAACAAAATAATAATTATAAATGTGCATTTTCAGTATGTTAAATAGGAAAAAAACTGATTCACCAGAATAACTTTTTAATCATACATGTGTATTTTGGTTTCTGAGGTAGTAAGCTGGTTGTGTTAGGTCCCAAGAAAAAATATCTACCCACTGGTTGTTTATTTTCAAAATTAGGATTGCCATTTAGTTGTAAGTAATAAACTCCGTCCCCAGAATCTAAACACATACGCAATACTCGATGACTGTTGATTGGATATTCACATAGTGTTTGTAAATTTGATGTTGTCATAGTAGAATTCCTGCAAAGGTGATAACAAAAAACAACAGTACAATGAATGTCATATATGTGTTTGGTTGATGGCATTGTTCACCTGCTTGGTAACCTTAATGTCTTTTTTCGTCTACGCTATTATGTTGACAGATATAAGTAGTATGTGGCGCCGATCTGAAGTAGAAAGCCTGCGAGCAGAAGGTTGAGAAGATTAAAATAAAGATAAGTGAGAAGAAAAATCACAGCAATCACGATAACAACAAAAATGAAGGAACAGTGAAGCTTGTAAGATACATTTCAAAGAAGGTATGCAAATGATGTATTTAATGTATGATTTTCATATTTTTTGATAGCACACTGTAATTTCGCACTAAAATAAATTGGTTATTCCCACCAAGGCCTCGTTCAATACACTATCACTACTACCACTACGACTACTACTACATTAGCAGTGTGGGTTAACAACTAGCCAATTATTCTTTGGGAATAGATTCTATTGTAGTTGTTTAGAGGCGATTGATCAAAATAAGCCTTATTTTAGTTTATAAGATCATTAAACAACTTTTGATTTTTGCTTTAACCCTCGTGTTTTATTTCCCCTAATAACAACATGTGTTCCAATGTAGTAGTATTAGTAGTGTGGTGTGCTACTGATGTCGGCAGATATAAGTAGTATGCATCACCAATAGAAAGTGGAATATCTGGCGGTAGAAAGTCGAGAAGATCGAATAGAAGAGAACAAGAACAGAGAGTGATTGGTACGGAAATTAATGGATAATAAAGTCCGAGACAATTGAAAGACTTTATGCAAATGAAGTATTTACTGTACGGTTCCCAGATTTTACTAAGCGATTCTGTAATTTTATGTTTTGACACGTTTGGTTGCACCCAACACACACTTATGTTTTTGTCCACTACAGTAACAGTAGTCGAAGTAACAGTGTGAGTAGTGGTAGTAGTAGTAGTTGATTCAGAACTTTCAGTCTCATTTTCTCCATTATTATTAGCATAAGTTGGCTGAATCTGTCAAGGAGGTTTTATTAATCATGAATTTGTCTTATAATGTGAATAATTTGTTTCAAACATACTGAGTTTATATACCAACTAAACAGACCACATAGTACCATACAATGGAAAATAACACTGGTATAAGATCTAGCCAAAAGTGGCTGTGGATGTGGGAGATAATATTGACTAAACTGAACATAACTCAAAAATGGTAAATTGTATAATAATAATTCATAGGTCGAAATAAAGCTTATGATGAGAGGAACACGAATATGAATAGTTTGGTCATTTAACAATTACACGACAAAAATATACTTATAATATTAGTCGATAAGTGGATCCCAAAAGTTACCATTCATTATTCTCATCGGGATATAACACTATCCAACATTTAGTCAGTAGAAAACAAACAAACATTTTCTTGCTAGTTGATCAAATCCTTAAAATGATGTTTCATTTCAAAAGTGAAACCATCATCAACGATCATCATATATAAACTTATTCATTTATATATACAACACAACTTTGTATTAAATATCAATAATTGAAATCATGAGTCAATTGAAGTTAGACCACTATGAAAAACCTGGAAGCACTGGACGGCCGTTTCATCTTAATTAGGGACTTCTCGGAAGTGCTCTTCAATTTCAACTATTGAAATCCCTTTTATATTAAAATAGTAAAGTAAGAAGAAAAAGAGAAAAAAAAGACAACAACAACAACGGAACTTACTGCAAATTGATTTTCTTCAATAAAGTTATTGTATAATTTATAGCTTTATTACCAGGTAAACGACATGGTTGATAATATAATTGAAATAATTTCCCATTAAATTCCATTTTAAATAAAACATCAGAATTCCAATAAAATTGATTATAATATAATTTATTGATTACTTTAATATTATTAATATAACGTTTTGATTGACAATTTTGTATTGAATATTGTATCATTTTGACTGGATATGCGGTACTAATATCCATACGTTTATTGATTGCATAAACATTAATAAATAATTTTAGTGAATGATTTCTATGTAAATCATTTAATATTTGACTTAATGTTGATGTTAGTCTAATCTTTGAAGAAAAAGAAGAAGAAGGGGGAGAAAAGAAAAGAAGAAGAAGAAATCAAAAAGAAAATGTGTGTGTGTGTTTTTTAAAAATGATTTTAACAAAATAATAATCACATTTTATTGTGAGATTCCTTAGTAGTGCATATTCACGATCTCATCTTGGTAAGATTTGAAACCAAAACCTACTGATCTCATGCCAACTGGTCAATTTCTAATGGTGTTCATGTTTAAATTTAACTAATCCATGAAATCAAACGTCATAATTACTATTGTCTTCAGTGAGTTATTATCTCACAACAGACCTGGTTGAATTTTATTGGTTACACAATAGAACGTACAGTGTTTTCAGGTTTTTCATGGTGATCTAGCTTTAATTGACTCATGATCTCAACTATTAAAATAATAATTTTTATATCCTAGTGAAGATTAGATTATGGGTAACTATTGAGAACTAATAATGGACTAATATTATATATATTTATTCCTTTTGTATGACTATACAGTAACTAGATTATGCGTATCTATATTCCTCATAATGTAATCTTCATTTTGACCAAACGACTATTACGATATGATTTAGTGTTCTTAAGTTCTGTTCAGTTTATTGATTACAGTCTTTCACGTTCACAGTCACTTTTTGGCTTGATATTGTATAAATGTTATTTCCTATCTTGTGGTGTGATATGGCCTGTTTGGCTGGTATATAAACGACGTATGTTTGAAACAAATGATTTTCATAGTGAAAGCTGATATATGTGCTCTGGACTCAACTGGCAAAGCTAGGAGGAACTGGGCCATTTAGGACGCTAGGCTGTTTATGCCGGTCGAATTTCATTGGTTTGGCACAGTACTAAGATTGTATAAGTCATATTTTGATTAGTCAATAAATCAAGTAATAATTGTCCGGGCTTAAGTTACAAATAATAATAATGAAAAAATAAAAACCTCTGTCCAATTTATTACAATTCATTATGGGTCAACAAAAAAATGAACTGAGTAGCTGATATAATACAGCGGAAGTTGAAAGATATAAATTCTGTTTCAATTAAAGTCTGTACTTTCATACTGATTGCGTAATCTATGTCATATCTATGTGACCACGCAATAGTTTTGATTGAAAATGTTTAAGATTATTTGTATTCTATGTGAGTTACTGACTTACTTATGTACCAAGTACAGATTTACGTGTTCAGTTTGACTTACACTTTAATTCTATGGGTATTAACAATGCTAACTATCTTCCTGGATTAAAACGGAACTGAGAATGGTTTAAATTTACAGTCAATCTTTTGGAAATCAACTGCTTTTCCAATAATCCACTGCTTGATGGTATTCTACAATCCAATGATCACAAAATCTTAGTTGGAGTTACTTTTGAGTTACTTTTATATACCTACTAGTTGTCTTCATGTCAAGTTGTATTTTTGTTTTTTATTGCATTCAACATGTAGTGGCTGGTGTTATCTCAAGCCCACATAGGTCATTCTAGCCTCTGAATAGATCAATCTATTCATTCTACTCAAACCACATTTTTACCCTATCACTTATTCGGTTGTGATTCTGGACTGTTTTGTTTTATGATCACATGTGTGTTAATTACTTACCCTACTCATTATGTGTCTGTAAATTATTTTTGTTTGACTATCAGTATCGATTCACGCTTGGCTAAATCGAGTTGGCTAACATGACTTCCCCAGCCCTTGTCGCTTCCTTCTCTCCATCTCTCTGATTGTTTGTTCTGATCAATGGTTGTACGAAATATAGGTATTCAGAAATCCATTCTCGTATTTGATTTATTTTAATTCCGTTATTCACTAACGTGGTTTAAGTCGATAGTTATATACAAGGATTGGCGACATGTGCATGTCGATAATCAGACGATTAAATTAGAGTCAGATATTCGAAAGTCACTTAAAACCCTTTTTATTCTCTTGTTAAATCTCCACAAAACCCCTTCTGATAATAATCATCTGCTCACTAGTGACTGAATTCAAGAGACACTCCTGGAGTTCTAGTGGGAATTCGTTACCAGTGGAGTTCAACCAGGTCTGTTGTGAGATAGGAACTCATTGAAGACAATGGTGTACGGTGGCTCAACTTCGTGGGTTGGTTGAAGTTGGACGTTAACACCGTTGGATACCGGCTCAGTGGTCTAATGGTTAAGCGCTCGCGCTCGAGACTGATAGGTTCTGTGTTCGAATCTTGCCGGGGGCGGGTCTCGGACAAGCACCATTGAGGAGTCCCATACTAGGACAAAACGACCGACCAGTTCTTCCAGGTTTTTCATAGTGGTCTAGCTTCAATTGACTCATGATTTCAACTATTGAAATTACTAAAATCTCCACAAAATCCTTTCTGATAATCTATTTTATGCTTCATCAGGCAATTAATTTGTCTAATTACAAGAAATTATTATATATAAATATATTTTCGTATCGTTTATGATCAGATGGAAAAGTTCTAGTAGTTGTTAATCGTTAAATTATTCATCATCTTATTATTCATGAAACATATAACTATACTGTTAAATGATATTGTTAATTACTTTGCCTGGAACTTAAATGAATAACAGTTATATTGGTTGTAGCTTAAAATGTTACTGTCGTTGAAAATAGGATTATTTATGGAGCAAGTACATTAGACTAACAAACAAAGTCCGTGATTAATCAAAAACGAGTGCTGTCCAGTGAATGTTCGTTCTTAGAGTTCTGTTTGAAAGTTACGCTTAGTGAGATTTACATATATTGGGTGTGAAACAGTTATCCACAACGAATCAAGAGGTAAACCTCATGCCTCAAAACTGTAGGGATTAGGTTGAATCCCAGATGGGATCTTTGATACACATTACTTAAGACAATATAATCGTCTAGTACTTCCTGATCTTCAGTAATGGTATAACTATGATTAATTACTGATTTCAACTATGAAAATTCTACCATTTTTACTATCTCTATACAAAAGTAATGTTTCCTTTAAAACTACTCAAAATCTATTTCAATCTAATTTGATCTAAATTTGATGTTAAACTTATTCGTCATTTGTTCATATTTTCCTTCCTGATTGAATCTAGTTTTTCACATCCATCTGTTTTTCAAAACATAGAAGAAATATCTTGAGTAAGAAACATAATTCCACTGAAATCATTAATCTCTTATTTTAGTTTAAGTTAATACTGTCTTGTGTTTCACATTGACAAAGATGAATCTAGACAAATAACAATTTTTGTAATTAAGTAAAGTTTTAATGAAAATGTTTATCGTCGAAACTATAATTAATGGACGAACCAATCACTTGTAAGATAACAGGTTTCGGATTTTGACGCGAAATTCACTCATCCATTTGTATAAATGGAGTTTTGACATTACAACTGATGTCAGTTTGTGATGAAAACCCGAAATTTAATTACTAACCTTAATCATCAGCTGTAAATTAATCATAACTTCTCATATAGGTTTATAACCCTCATTTGATCCTGGTTATTAAGTGGTCACTCTCAAGGTCAGTCTAGCGTCGCTCAAAGGTCATCCATAAATTATAATCTCACCTGTTTATCCTATATGAATACTTACTCTTATCATTGACTTTGTACCACATTTATATACATAATTATCAATTAATTTTGGTCTTAAATAATCGGTATCTTGGAATATTTTAGGTCGTTCAAATTTTTCATTTGTATGATAATTAAAAAATTGATTCAATCTTGACATTGCTGTACATTCATAATAAAGATTTTCATTTGCATTAATAACTACACAATAATTAATTTGCATTGAATTATGCATTACTCCTTTCCATGATATGTCTAATGTATCACTGTAAAAAATAAAAAATAAGACAATTATTTGGAGATATTTTGATTATTACTTTTTAGAGTTTATAAGTAGTTTAACGTATTTCTTAAAATATTTTCCTATGAATGTAGATGAAGCTGAAGATTCAGGCGAAAACATTTAATGGGATTACTTTCTTTAAGCTAGATGGTTTAGTTACAAAGCTTTCCCTACCGATTAAGATAGCGCTGTCAATACCTAAATTAGGACAACGAAAGCTTTATGGTCGAATCATGTTTCACAGTGACACGTCAAACTACATGAATATAATTTGATTGTGTTCATATATGCAATTTTATGTAATTCCGTTTAACATCTTTGATCTTCGAGTTTCCTCTTTTTAAAACTATATGTAATATTATCCTAAACCACTAAATGCTGAAATCCCAGTCGCTAAATTTTCCATTTATTGAGATACCATGCATAAGTATTACCATTAGTAATTTATCATGGACTCTCCATTGATTTATATTATTTTAGGTACAAGAGTTTAACTTTATCTCTCTACAGTGTCATTTATATAAATTCAGCCTACAATTTTCTGATATGATGGGTATCAAATGAACATAGTATGAAACCCTTCAGCTGTGAGAGTTCACTACTCACCTAGCAATTAAAACCAAGACCTTTAGATCCCAAACGAAATTCTTAAAATTCAGAGCAGTAAGTCGACATCAAATGGTTTACATTTCATGCTTCAATTAATTAGCGATGGAAGTCACCATTCGGTTTCACAAAGTCATATTAATTTAAGACACCAATAGTTTAGGTCCTACGAATATTTTTCTGTTAAAGTCTCGATGTTTAGCTTAACTGAACCTAGTTAATTATGGATCATACATTTTCGAGAATTTCATTCATATATTTGACTGACTTTACAAACTTTATCATAAATATTTCGGAAATATCTAGGTGACCTTTGTCAATGATGTTTTTAAATCATAATTTCAGTCCTTCGCTCCTTTTGATTACTCCCATAGATAACATCAATTCACCAACATCGATATATATAACTAATGCTAAATGTCACATGACATTATCTCTTACCAATCGCTTCCAAGTAATCAAACATTTTTCTGAATATAACAGCGAAATCTGTGAATATGCATCACTGAAAAAGTTTTTTAGCCTGTATAAAGATGACAATTTAATAGACTTTCAAATTAGTGTTCTGGTATATTAGGAATAGTGTTAACATTTGACTTTATTTTGAGATGTTTTACAACAATCACCAAAACAGTATAGGTTTAATAGAAGTTCAATGCTAATGTATCTGCATATATCAATAATATTAAGGTATTAATTGCTTTTATTATTTTAACTATAATTGATATATTTGATTCCACAGATGAATTGGATAATGTTGATAAATCTATGGACTAATGTATATGATGCTTAGTTTGATAGATATAAAAAAGTAGTTCCCGTCTAAATGAATTTAAAGTATGGTAATGCCTATTATGATGAGTTATCCCCTTTTCGTTATCTCTAATTCATTAGATTCTTAATAATACTGAAAGATACTTCTGAAATTCGCTTTTGATAATAATTTTGATAGCTTTTTTACATATATTTTTGATGTTACTATTTTAACAGCATATAGTTGTGGAGATAGTTAAGTTTTTGATTGAGATCATGAATCGATCAATTTTAGACCAACATTTAAAACCTGGAAGCATTGAACGATCGTTGCGCCCTAGTATTGAACTCCTCAAAAGTGTGAACGCATAACCTCTAGGTTATCAATGGTGGTCTAACATTCATCTGTTCGTGATATCAATTTAAACTCAACAATCTCTTCAACCCTATACTGGTAATTATCATGTGTTCACTGGTGACTGGCTTCAAGATTACCTTCCTGGAGTTCTTATGAGAAACTGTGGCCAATAGAGTCCAACCATGTCTGTTGTGAGGCAGTTACTCATTGAAGACAATGGTGGACTATCGTGCAATATAATGAATTGGTTGAAGTTAGACATTAACACCGTTGGGTGCCGGCTTAGTGGTCTAGAGGTTAAGCGTTCGCACACAAGACCGAAGGTCTTGGGTTCGTGTCCCACATGCGGGATTGTGGATGCGCACTGCTGGGGAGTCCCATACCAGAACGAAACAGCCATCCAATGCTTCCAGGTTTTTAATGGAGATTTATTTATTTGTGAAAAAACTAATGAATATCGAATTTTATACTGTTTTGGTGAGGTACTGAGAACAATAATATTTCACAAAGGCCATCTCTTTAAAGTTAAGATGCCAAATAGGTGGGTATATTTAAAACATAATTTAAATTTCTAAACAATAGTGAACTCCATATTTTTTGCAAAAATGAAATATGGAATGGAATGTTTGGAATTTTAAACAATTATCTTACATCTATTTATACATATTGATCATCAAAAAACAATCTACATATACAGTCATAAACTTGACTTGGCATGTAGAATAGTAATAAAAATTTTTGAGGTCTACATCATAGATTGATTTCAGTTCGGTAAATTGCGAAAACGAGGAAGTACTGAACAGACACTTGATCAGAGTGTTGGACATATCAATCTCAACATGCATCCACAATTCGATTGGAGTTCGAATAATTGATCTAGTGGTAAGAGATTAACTTTCAGACCATTGAACATGCATCTGGTGGTCAGTGAATCTAATTTTAGTCAGTTCACGATATTGTTCGATCTTTCACCAATGCTACTGGTCATTTAATTAACTCTCTAACACCCAATATGGTTGAACTACCCTGTCCACATCTTCCCACTAGGACTTTTAAAATGACCTCTCGAAATTTCCCACTACACAAGGAAGTGACATAAACGAACTTAAAAAAACGTACAGTAGTGATTACAATAATTTTCTAGATGAATGAAAATCGTATGCATAATTTCATTTTTAACACAAGACATGTTTATTCTATGCCTTGAGTAGAATAGAATGTTTCAAACCGAAGGAATATTTAAAACAAATATATTTAATTCGATATATAAAAGCCTAAGCTATAAAACATTGAAATGATTGTCTACTATAAACAGGATTGAGTTGTACTGTTTGGATTGTCACGTGAAAGTCTAAATGGTGTCCGGTTCTCCTTAAAATCAATGTAAAATTACCCTGGTTCACAAGGGTTTATTATATAACTGTGTCTACTATAAGCATAATTTTAATTTGATAACTATAATTCACCATCGAAGTGGAACACTTTATCAAGTGGATTAATGAGATAATAGACAATGTGTTGTTTTAAATAATGGAAATATAGATAACGAACAACCTTCCTTCTCTAGATTATTAGATCTCATTTCGATTTTGGTATTACCAAAAGAGAACATCAGTTTAGTGACTGTGAATTATCATTATATAAGCAAAATCCAACTCTTTGTACACAGTTTTAACCAACTGTAGATTATACTTTGACTATATATATAATTGGATTGATGTCAGCCAACTACCATATGGATTAAAATGAGGCAAGTTATGTTGTGTCAATTTACCAATGACTGTCTTATTAAGTTTACACGAATATAGAATCAATCAATCAGTTAGAGTCAGAGTCAAACCTGACCCATATATGCAATGGACCAGGTTACTATACATCAATAGGACAATTAAATGAATTTTAAAAGGTAACTACCAAGGAAAATTTAAAAAATTTAGTTAAGATGATGATTATAAAAACTAAACATTGAAAAATATAGTTTAGGAGAAGGAATGAAAAATTATTTAATGAGATATTGGTACTTAAGATCTTGAATGAATACATTATTACTATGAAGACCGAGTCTCAGACATGTTATCCAACGTCTCCAACCACTTATAGTGGTTATTACAATGACCCCAACCAAGTAGTTTGTATCTACCAAAATGGATTATACTAACAGTTAATAAGTTCATGAACTGATATCATATTTTGGTTTAAGTGCTTCGAATGTTCTTTCAACTAATCAGAAATTCACCTAGCAAAAGGTACTGTGTTAGGCAGTGATTAGTTTTACCTAATATATATGTCCCATCTATCCCAGGTGGTAAAAATTAACTACCTCATCAATGGATTTTTCATCTATGACCAGTACATTGACTTCATTTAGTTGTTCCTTAATACTCGAGGAATATTTTACAGAAACACATGGTCGAAACCATTTAGCTTGAACATATTTTTCTACATTCGTAGATAATCTTTCACAATCATAGAATACTATCGCATAGACTGCTTCTGGGTATGCATATAGATAGAGTATATTCTTCTCATCTATTGCTTAAAGCTAACATCAGTTTTTTTCATGAAAGGTTATTGACATATAAGCAGAAAATATTGAAATTTCATAAGAAAAGGAAATGTGAATATCTACACATAATTAACAATATAACATAATAATAAGTAAAAAATTATTATTAAAATCTTACTTATGAGAAGAATTAATGAACATACTTTGTATTTTGTACTAAACATACAGATATAGTTGAAGTTTTATCCAATTCTGGATAACCATCTAAAGCATGTTTTGGTGAACTACGTGTACTAAGACGTACATTATATGCATCACCAATATTACCATATAAGCGTACATTTAAACTATCTGTTTTATATTTAATTTGTGTAAAATGTAATCTTGAACGTGTTAAACCTAGAATAGTATCACCTTGATTAATTAAAGTGAAATTTGGTAATTTTGTTTCACTTGGAAATGGTTCTACACGAATTTTTTGTTGTGGCCAATTTACAGAATCTGTAGAGCAAAATAGTAATAATAATAATCATAATCATAATCATATATTACTAACAATTAAATCATATGGTTACCTAATTATTATTTAAAATCAATTTAACAAAATTTTCACAAGAAGTCAAAATTATAGAATAGATGGATTATAGCTAGTAGTGAAATGTAGGACATATGTTTCGACTGATTAAGGACTACTCAGATGGTTGTATCTTCTATATTCCTGTGATGATGTTCACATTTAGGATCGAATCCATTAACTTACGCTTCAAACGTAAACGTGTTATTTACTGAGCTGTTAAATTTAGGTAGCCATTAAATTGTTGGATGTGTACAACGTTTATAAAAATTCCTAAATAAGACAAAACGTGCTTCTTGAATTCCACTGCTAGCCATCATCATCTTAGCTTATAATGATTTTGACTTAAGGCAATATTGAGGTAATCCATAAAGTGTGAACATATGCTAATAACAGACTGATCAATTGCAGTCTTAAACATCAATGAGAAGACTCAAACAATCAATACAAAAATCAGTTAAACATCACCACATTGCATAAGCTAGTGGCTGTCTGGATTCAGTATCTAATTGGATAATACGATGGAGTTCAAAGCGAACGGTACTGGGTTCAAGTCTCAAAGTGAACATCAATTCTAGGATGGAGTCACATTCAACTGATAAGTCTCAAATAGGACGAAACACGCGTCTTGAATTTCACTGCTAGCCACAATTATCTCAGCTTATTATTAGTAAATGTCTAAAATATCACGTTGTTGATAATCAGGAATAAATTTTGATCCGTTTTTGTTCGGATATATGTATCCTTTAAAACTTATGCAAATCATGTTCGTGCTAATTTAACAATAAACTCGTTTTCATTTCTTAAGATGCGAACTTCTACTCAAACTTTTTAAAATTTATCAGTTCAGTAAGGTAACTAACATAGAAAAACCCTAAATTGTTGTTTTGCCTTTTTAGTTTAATGTTTTAATAGTGTAAAATATCTGACTTCGTGAAGGATCAGATCATAATGGATTTCTAGTTCATATGATGACCTTGATATCATCAAATCATTCAGCTTGAAATGAATTGAAACACAATTTTTTCACCAGAATGGGTTTTGTGGAGAGTTTTAGAAATTTCACAGGTTGAAATCATGAGTCAGTTGAAGCTAGACCACCATGGAAAACCTGGAAGCACTGGACGGCCGTTTCGTCCTGGTATGGGACTCCTCAGCAGTGCGCATCCACTATCCCGCACCACGCGGGGCTCGAACCCAGGACCTACTGGCTTCGCGCGCGAGCACTTAACCACTAGACCACTGAGCCGGCATCCAACGGTGTTAATGTCTAACTTCAACCAATCCACGAAGTTGCGCCACCGTACACCATTGTCTTCAGTGAGTTGTTATCTCACAGCAGACCGGTTGAACTCCACTGGTAACGGCTTCTCACTAGAACTCCAGGAGTTTTTCTTGAAGTCAGTCACTAATGAGCAGTTGATTATTATCAGAATGGGTTTTGTGGAGAGTTTTTAGAAATTTTCACAGATTGAAATCATGGATGCGCACTGCTGAGGAGTCCCATACCAGGACGAAACGGCCGTCCAGTGCTTCCAGGTTTTCCATAGTGGTCTAGCTTCAACTGACTCATGATTTCAACCTGTGAAATTTCTAAAACTCTCCACAAAACCCATTCTGATAATAATCAACTGCTCATTAGTGACTGACTTCAAGAAAAACTCCTGGAGTTCTAGTGAGAAGCCGTTACCAGTGGAGTTCAACCGGTCTGCTGTGAGATAACAACTCACTGAAGACAATGGTGTACGGTGGCGCAACTTTGTGGATTGGTTGAAGTTAGACATTAACAATTTTTTCAGCCAATCACTTCATGACATCTTTTTCATGTTTTGATAAGTTATCATTGTTTTCTTTTTGAACATCTTTAATAAATAATTCATCTGACTGTAAACAACATTTCAGTAATCCTACACTTCAGTTATATCGATCATCATTCCTTTGAAAGATTTATATTTTCCTTCTGTAAATATTTAAGGCTGAATTTGATGTAACTCCTTAAACACATCTTTCTATAATTATCTACTTTGGATAGTGGATAGAAATGAGTTCTGTAAAGATCTTTTCATCTTTTGTACAACTGAAAAAAGGGATATACATGCTTTTTTGCATTGACCTGATCATACTGCAACTCTGATTCAATAACCAAACTCATTAGGCACTTCAGAACATTTAAATTAATAATAAATATCAAACCAATTAGGTAAATAATCATCTCAGTATGAGGTTGTGGCGATTGTTAAGTTTTGGATTGAGATTATGAATCACCAGTGAAAACCTGTAAGCACTGGACAGACGTTTTACCTTAGTATGGGACTCCACAGCAGTGCGCATGCACTTTTTTTCATATTCAACTGATAAGTTCTTAACAGAACAACACGCGCCTATTGAATACTGTTTTTCAGATTACCTTAAAGTCAAAATATTGAATACAGTGATAAGTCATCCATTTATGCATTATTAAAGTGTAAAACTAGTTTCTTACCTGATTTATATCTGAAACATCTATTCTAATGTTAACCAATGTATCGTTTGTGAAATTAAATATTGTGTTGTTTATTTTAATTATCCTATTCATACTATTATATTACTAATAGTTGTACACTTAATGTTAACTGAACTTAATGTTTTAAATGGATTTTTGAACAGTTCATTGCCAAATTTGTAGGCTTTAGATTTTACTCTAGGCAGATTCATAGGCGAGTATTGTTAAGAAACCTCATATCAACACCCCAATTTTCATTGATACTTCAAATGAAGTCAGCCTTTATCAAATACAATATACAAATGAAACTAATCTTTATAAAACACTATCAACTAGACTTTTTTGAAGTGTCGAAATTGTTGAATACATTTAAAAGTGTCCAAGCTATCATTATCTATTATTCATGAATCTGCTCTAAATTCTTTATAGAATAGGAAAGACATTTCAATTTTCATTTAATTGAAGTTTTAAGTTTTAAATAACTCCTTCTGGAGCCCCTCTGGGTCTACTGCTGGTCCCAAACCCGGACAAAGGAGGAGGGTTGGGCATGAGGTTAGTGACCCCATCCCGTAGAAAACTAACTCGCTAACTAACGCTAACCAGGAAAAAAATAATTCAAATTAAGTTTTAAACAATTTCTGAAGTGATTTCTACTAATTCTCAATTCCATATTGTTGTGTCTTTATGGCCTGCTAGTTATCTCGTAATTTATTCGCCAATCAAAATACGACTTATTCGCTCTTGTACTGTACTAAACCAATGAAGTTCGTCCGGTCTGATCAGCCTAGCGTCTTAATGGTCCAGTTGGGTCCAGAATGCTAATAACAGCCTCCACTGTGCGAATAATTTATTTCAGACATACTGGGTTTATATATCAACCAAACAGACCGCAACTCACCATAAAATAGGAAATAACATTTATACACAATAAAGCCAAAATGTGGCTGTGAACGTGGGAGACGGTAATTAATAAAGTGAATATAATTCAAGAACAGTAAATCGTACAATAATAATCTATAGGTCAAAATAAAGCTTATAATAAGATGAATATAAATATACACAATCTAGTTACTGAACAATTATGCAATAGGAATATATAGGTAATATTAGTACATTAAAAGGTCTCAGAAGTTACTCATAATTTAATCTTCGCTAGGATATAACAGTTATAAAAAGAAATCTTCAAATATCAAGAGTTTTTAATTAATTAACTTCAAATTAAATATTAATCTACACAGTGAACTGGTGACTTTTCTTTATTCTTCAATATTGATTGGCGTATTTAAACACTCAATGACAAATTCAGTTTGATAAGGTGAAGATCCACCAAGAGAAAATTCATATAAACAATATCTATTAACATTAAGTGATATTGTAAACGAAGACAGATGATGGCTAGCTTTGGAATCCAGGAGATGCGTTTCGTGCTATTTGGGACTTGTCAGCCGGATGTGCCTGCATCCTAGAGTTTATGTTTGCCTCGAAACTCGAATTGATGAGTACTAGAATTATGGTATCACTGAAGATGAAAACTTATTTTATTTTGACAGAATGTTTGTAAATCTGAACTTTCAATCAAGTAGTTGATTTCTAGTCATTAAAATGCATAGTCATTCTGTGTGAACTCACGTATTATGTAATAATTATAAGCAGAATTTTAAGATTCCATAGTCAGCATGGGGTGATCTAATTGATCAGTCATTGTCTGTTGAACAAACATTGATGTACTACTTATTTATTCATCGAGTAACCGGAACAGAGAAATCCCTGATTTATTTGAAAGTTTTTTTACTTTTTTAACATTGGAATTTCATAGAAATATGATTAAGTTTCTTCTATTCGGTGACCCAGTAACTACCATACATGATAGTTTTTATTTTAACTCATCAATCATATTTACAGATGAAGAAACTTAGGGACAATCAAAATGTATTGAATAAATGTTTCATAATAGTTTGGAATTCCTCCCCAGTATGTAATTTATATTTGGCTATCTACACTAGATGAAACCGAAGACTTTCAGGTCTATTAATGAGATAAGCTACTGAGTCAACATTTAAATAGTTCATATTTACAACTTCATTTAATCAGTGATAATGTGAGATCACTATTGAATGTCACCAATAAAATCTGTTTTGCATTTGTTATTACATGGATGAACTTCATAAATCATGACCTAATAATAATTCAGGAAATCTATCGAATTAATTAAAATTGATCGAAGATTTTCTAGATACCTAACTATATGTATACTTCTTGTGTATATTTCAATATTTAACAATAGTTCAATTGATTTAAAGGTAAAGATCATTTTTTCAAAGATCCATTCAGTAGCACGAATCATATTCAATTCAAATAATGGACTTCAACCATAATATGTAATTTAATTTTCCAATGATTTTACCTATTTTCCGCTTAAGTTCAGCGGGGAGACTATGATTTATGGACGAACCAATCAGATTTACGATAACTGGTCTTAGATTTTGGTGCGTAATTCATTCACCTATTTAGCTAAATAGAATCTTGGCATTATAGCTGATGTCAGTTCGTGATGCAAACCCTAAATCTAATTCCTAACCCTAACCATCAACTGTAAATCATAATCCTTATTCTTCAAACTGCTTTATAACCTTCATTTAGCTCTAGTAAGTAGGTAGACACTCTCAAGGTCACATTAGCGTCGCTCAAAGGTCGTCCATAAATTATAGTCTCATTGATTGATGAGTAAGAAAAATCTAGTCTCTTCTCATGTCCCATGTTGTAATGAAGATCTTGATTCTAATGTCCTGTATGAATAAACTACAGGGTAATTTATTTAATGACATGAAATAAATAAACAGTTTCATTCAACACATGAACACAACCGAATTAATGGAAACATACTTATTAGTGGGTACAATAATGACGAATAAAAATGATACAAGACTATACGATATATAGTTGAAGAATATTTATCAATACACATTAGTGAATTAATCCTGGATATCAGATGAATAATTTGTAATACTAGTACAAACACAGTTCAGTACATGATGTACATTTGTACTTACATTTAATTCTAAATAAATATTTAATATTAACAGAATTAATAAGAAATAGAAAGACAAAGATGATCAGAAATGTGTGATGATACATATTTGTGGAATACATTTCGAACAACCTGAAGAGTAATCGTGAACATGTACCTAAATAGTTGTAAAAACAAATAGAATCAAATGATCTAATAAGAGTAGAGGATAAACATCTACCAGCTACCATGGGACTGCCTCTCCTGACGTTGCTTCACTGCCTTGTGAATTAGATCTTTGGGTCAAAGGCTCCGGATGTGGCCCCCTAAGAAAACCACCTGCTTCAGTTAGGGAGTCCGGGCAGTATCCCAGCCATCATACAAATCTAATGATTTATGTGACGCATATCTATTCGGTGCCTCCTTGTACCAATGTTTATGTGTATAAATAAATAAATAAATATTCAAATAGAAAAGTATATTCATTAAAATTATACTCACATATATCAGATTTCGATAACTGTAAACCATAATCTTTACTTTCTTCCCATGGTTCATTATAAGCAGATGATCCAACAAATTCAATACGATTCAATAAATTTGTACATGGTGTTACAGTAAACCATAATGATCGATTATAACCAATAAAATATTGAATACTGTATAAAAATAAAGATAAATAAACCATTAAAAGACACTAGTAAACTATTATTATAATTACTATTACTATTATTATTATTATTGAATAACTCTTTTGTGAAATGGAACTAATGAAAATAATGAATTTATATCTAGTCACTCTATTAGACATTGATAAAAGAAAGATCATTTTAATATGAAAGGAGAAAAGGACTACCTGACACTGTTTGTTTCTTTTCTACATTATTCAATAGTTTCAATCATGTTGTTTTTATCAGCAAATAATACACTGAATAAGTCATTGTTTTTCCATAGACAATTCAAGTGTAAAGAGTTAATTATAATACATTAGATTTTCATATTTATTTTTTTGAAAAAACTAAAGTTAAACATTTTTGATTGAGGAACACTGTTTTAATAAACACAAAAAGCCCTTTCTATGAATAATCCTTATATGATCACTAGTGACTGGCTTCAAGAGGTATGTCCTGGAGTTCTAGTAAGAAGCAGTGACCAGTGAAGTTCAACAGGGTCTGTTAAGAGTAAGTAACTCACTGACTTGGATTGCTTAAGGTTAGTCAGTGGTCTAGAGGTTAACCGTCCGCGTATGAGACTGATAAGTCCTGGATTTGAGTCTTGTAAGGCGGGATCGTGGATGCGCACTGCTGAAGAGCCCAAAACTAGGGCGGAACGACCATCCAGTGCTTCCAGGTTTCTCATGGTTGTCTAGCTTTAATTGACTCATGAACTCAACAATTAAATTACTATAGGATAAGTAACATTATTGAGTATTAATAAATTTTAAAGAAAATTCTTCGATAAATATAATCAAACACATCTATGTCTTTAAAAAAAATAACACTGATCTTAACATTGATTTGTTGTTGAGTAATAGCTAAGGTTATATTATCACTACTCAGTGACTAATCAGTGTAAATATTTCATTCTAGAGTAGATTACTGTTAGCTAGAATTGATGAATGATAATGTCGCCGATTGTGTAACTGTTCTGCTCGAATTCTGAATCCAGCAACAAACATTGATTTTGTAAAGACTGCTAGTAATTCTTATCATTGATTGCTAGCTAATACGTAATCGTATTCAAGAAGGGATTTTACGCAGATTATATCCAACCACATAATCTCAAAATATTGATATTCATTGGTTGAAAATGGTAATACTTTTTTCCATTTTTGTAACATTTACCTATAGCATGCCTGTAGATTTTTTTAAAATTATTTGTCTGTTTGCTGTAATGCATACATTTGACCCGCTATGTTAAATTATGTGTGTCTGATTGAACGCTGAGAGAACAAAACAACCTCCAACTGAGGAGGAAATTAGGAAAAGACATTGGAAGTGTATAGGACACACATTGAAGAAATCATCAAACTGCATCACAGAGCAAGCTCAAACTTGGAATCCTGAAGGGAAACGGAAAAGAGGAAGACCAAATAATACACTGAGTCGAGAATTGGAAGTAGACATTAATAAGATGAATAGCAATTGGAAAGAACTAGAAGTGATTTCGCAGGACGAAGTTAGGTGGAGGAAGCTGGTGGTTGGCCGACGCTCCTCCACGAGAGTAACAAGCTTAAGTTAGTAAGTAAGTATATTTATATACTTTCATTTGATCCATAAGCTGTTATCATAAGTTCTATTACACCAGATTCTTCATCAATTAATTACTCCCCTACGACATTGGTTTTTTATCACTTATGACAATGTAATTCTCTGTGTTGCTGTATGGCTGGGTATTTCAGGTAATATTATTGTATGAGTTCTGATTCATGATTAAACTGAGTATAGTACAGTACTGATCTGCTTTCTACTTTCGTAATCTGGTTGGCCCAAGAATCAAAAAGCGTTAACATCTTGATTATTGTTCACTAGTCGATATGCCAATTGGTATTTAGAAGGTCAATGATCCTACTTGACGTTTCTCTGTGCCTTCTGATTTCAAACATCATTGAGATTTATATTATAACTGTTATCAAGGTGATCGATTAACGAAGCAAAGTCATTACAATGTAATACAAGTCATGTATACTGTAATTTACCTATTAATTGAACAGTTAATAATAAGCATGATCATTCTGTTTGAAAACATCTAACTTCAATCATTCCCCCCCCCAAATGTATGTTAAAACAAAACAAATTTGGAAATGTGTATAGAAAGAAGAAAAAATCTGTTCATTTGTAAATTTTGGTAAAAATGAACTTTGTTGATTCATTATTCTATGCATCAAATAAATTATACCAAGTTATAATTATTCATAAATTACATTTATATATGTACTTCAGTTTTATGAAGGAAATACATTTCACATAATGTTTTGTTCAAAACACATTTATGAAGGGTCAAATAATACACCCAAAAAAATCAAATCATTACTTTAATAATTGCAAACGATCTTATTCACTTGATATTGTTTGGCTTGTATCTTCCCATTGAGGTCTAAGACTGGAATTGATCAGTCTGTTATTGGCATTTGTGCATACTGTGCGCATGCCTCGATATTGCCTTAATTCACAAGCTTTTATAAGCAAAGATGGAAACGATGAAAAATAGGGGCTAGCAGTGGAATCCAAGACGTGCGCTTCGTCCTATTTTTGCTTATAAAAGCTTGTGAATTAAGGCAATATCGAGGCATACGCACAGTATGCACATATGCCAATAACAGACTGATCAATTACAGTCTCAAATAACAATGGGAAGATACAAGTAAACAACACCAAGTGAATTTAAACTTCAATCCATTGCACAAGAAGGTGGATATCAGGACTCAGTAACTGAGTGTATAACGTGGTGGCGTTTGGAGTGAATGGTACTGTGTTTGAGTCCCAGAGTGAACATCAACTCTGAGATGCAGATACACCGAGCTGACGAGCCCCAGATAGGACGAAACGCGCGTCCTGGATTCTACTGCTAGCCACTATCCATTATTCTTTACAAAAAAACCATCTTATTATTTTAATTGGCGAGACTATAATTTATGGATGAACCAATAAGATATAAGATAAGGAGTCTTGGGTTTTGGCACGAAATTCACTCATCCATTTGGTTAATAATGAGAGTTTCGGTATTATAGCTGATGTCAGTTCGTGATGAAAACCCTTAATCTAATTCTTAACCTTTACCATCAACTATAAATAATAATTCTAGTTCCTCGTCCTGGTTTTTGTAAAACTCATTTGGTACTAGTAAGTAGGTGGGCATTTTCAATGTCACTTTAGCATCGCCGTCCACAAATCCTAGTCTCGCCTTTTAATTAAAAAAGATTTATGGAGATTGTAGAATTATCAAAGTTGTCCTATCAAAGAAAACCTGGAAATACTGAATTAGCGTTTCACTCTAATATTGGACTTCTCAGCAGTGAGTATCTGTGATTATGCATGCCTGAACATTAATTATACTTTGTAACGGTTTGTACTAAACAGTGAGAAAATGTAAATCTTTACAAATGGTTTTGCATCAGTTGAATATTTTGGTAACTATCTGGATTCAATAGCTTGGTAGATAATATGTGTTTAAAATGATAGATGGTAAGTTCATATTTCAGTGTGTATATTAACACTGCAATGTTAGTATATCTAGCTGACAATTTCCGAATTGGGCTAAACATATGTTCCGTGTTCCATTGCTAGCCACTGATAGACAACAGCAAGTTATGGAATCTAGGTTGTGTGTTCAGTCCTGTTTGAGATTGATATGGACGTACATTTATCTGATAGTAGTAACCAATATCATGTTAGTCTAATCATTTATGTGTAGCGAACTCTATTAATCAGTCTGCAATGTTTCCACTAGTTTAAGTGATTTGATTTGATCTGTACTAAGGGAATACGGAATATAGAATTGGTATATTTTTATGATTAATCAATCTAAGTAGCTCAGTAATGACGTCTCATACTGTGAGCCTTAGTGACATGAGTTCTAGTCCTGATATGGGAAATTAGGTTACTCGTGATTTTATATAGTCTCTGATGACTAATCCCAGTTTATATATATAATGTAAATCATTACAAACTGCATCAAACGTTATTGTGTTATCCAATTGGCTACTTAGAGAAAAAATCAAACGTATTTTATGCTATCATATTTATACTAATACATTGGTTTCGTCCTAGTATCAGACTCCTCAGAATTGCATACCTATAATCCCATGGGCAAGACGACGTAATAAAGAGTTCAAGAGGTCAAATGAGACCGAATATTCTGGACTGGGTTCATGAAGTGAAAAATGTCTAACAGCAACCTAAGAATGGAAATTCTCATAACATATTGAGATCACTCATTATACCGATATTAACTGAGGATTTGAGTGAGTAGTTGTAACATGTGGACTTTATTAATGTCAGCCATAAAACACATTTATTCATCAATGGAAATCAATTTTAGCTAGGTTATATAAAGAAATGACTGAAATTGAAAAAATATGTTGATCATTGAATTTACATTTAGTATTCATTTATTATCATTTTGATCTTATTTCCCGTCACTGATAATTACTTATAAAGAATATCAAACCATAATGAAATATTTACTCTCTGAGTTCCCCTTAAATTTCAGAACATAAAATAATTTATTAAAATAAACGATTATCTACAAACCAATGGATCAATTGTGTAATCATCATATACACATTATAATCAGAGGAGGGGTTTTGTGGATACTAACGTCATTTTTAATGGTTGAATTCATGAGCCATTTGAAGCTAAACCATCATGAAAAACTTGGAAGAGCTGGACGGCCGTTCCCTCCTCCTACTGGACTCCTCAAAAGTGAGTACCCACGACGCGTCTTGCGAGATTCGAACTCAGGACTTATCGGTCTTGCGTGTGAACGCTTAACCTCTAGAACGCTGAACCGGTACTTAACGGTGTTAATGTCTAATTTCAACTAATCCACGAAATTGCGCCACCATTCACTAGTGTTTTCAGACAGTTACTATTTCACAACAGACCCGGTTGAAATCCACTGGTCATGGCTTCTCACTAGAACTCCAGGAAATGCCTAT